TGGATCTTCATCAGGTCACAGGTCTGCTGTGATGATGAAGATGAAGATGGACGTTTGCTTCACATTGGTTTTCTTTGTTCCAGTCTGAACTTGGAGCCTCCAGGTTCAGGTTTTGAAGCAGACCTGGATCATCAGTCTGGACGCTGAGACACTTTCTTCTTCTTCAGATAAAAACAAGGATCTGATTCATCCATCTGTTCAGTCCTGACTGTGTCTCTGCTCCTGCTCCTGCTCCTGCTCCTGGTCCTGCTCCTGGTCCTGGTCCTGGTCCTGGTCCCAGTCCTGCTCCTGGTCCTGCTCCTGGTCCTGGTCCCAGTCTTGGTCCTGGTCCTGGTCCCAGTCCTGGTCCTGGTCCCAGTCCTGCTCCTGGTCCCAGTCCTGGTCCCAGTCCTGCTCCTGGATTTTCACTCTCCTCCTCTCGAGTCTCAGGTACAGAGAAAGTCCTTCAGTGTCTCATGATTTATGAGGTTTTATCGGTTCATGTTGAGTCTTTGTGTTTCAGAGAAGAAGAAGAAGAGATGACCTCTGACCTTTGACCTCAGTCAAACATCAGGGTAGAGATAATTTAAGTGTTGAGTTTAAAGTCTGAAATGAAGAATATCAGCATCAACATGAACCAAAAGTAAGAGAATTAATGATGTAAAAATCATTTATCAGGTGATTTATGATTTGAACTAAAAAATAAAGTAACTGCAGTAACTGAAGCTGTCAGTAAAAAGTAAATGTAAATTATCACATTTAAATAAAATGTTATAAATAAAATATTTAAAGTAGCAGAGTAGAAATATAAAGAAAAATAAAATTAAATGTGTTTAATTACATTCAACAACTGTGTCTAACCAATTCAGACTAATGGATAAGTGGTTCAGTAATGTCCTTTAGTGTTTTACCAGTTTACAGTACCATGTAACGTGTAACAGGTGACGTTTGATTTTCTCACCTTTATTAAAGCTTCAGACCTTAAAGAGCCCTGAGTCTCAGACACAGACAACAGCAGAGGTTCATTCACAAAACAACTTTGATGAAAAGATTTAAAATATAGATTATGTGTTAAAATGAAAAGATCTTTAAAAACATTACTAATGTTAAAAAACTCCTGTCATCACTGTGAAGCAGGAACCACTGCTGCTCAGTAACAATAACGTCTATGGAGGACATGTTTTTATGAGACACTAAAATGACCCTCAGTCCCACACTGGACTCTCTCCTTCCTGTTGGTTTCCTGTGGATCTGTTGTGTTGTAGATGAAGCTGTTCAACATCAGGTTGGTTAATTAGTGACTCTAGGTGTTAATGCTCGTTAGTGTCTATGTGACAGACTAGAGACCTGTCCGGGCTGAGAACTACATCTGTGAACTTCATGGTGTAATTACGTCCAGCAGGTCTGATGATTTCAGTCCCTTCAGACCTTTTTCCTAGTAGACATGTTATCAGGTGGAATTAGTTCCCAAATGTCAGCTGTCGAACATCTGTCCTGATGAGAGTCAGGTGACAAACGTCAGCTTCATCGTCACTCCAGACTCTGGTTTATCTGACTGTATCGTCAGTGTTCAGCTGCTGTAGTCTCACACTGACAGTTGTTTTACAACCAGATGCAGAACATCTGGTTTTACAGAGAGAATCTTTGATCATACATTGAAAACCAGCTGTGGTTTGCCTCTGTACCACTGCCTCATGTGACGGGTGTTGTACAGAAAAACTAATAGCTGCTAAACTCTGACAGTGTGAGAAGTTATTAAATGGAACAGTGCAACAGAAAGATGTTTATATGTTGTTACAACCAAACACCATCCAGATAAATTCCTGCATTTTAGCTCACATGCACATTTATGTCATTTCTGCACAACTACAAATATATTCTAGATTTTTCAGCCTCTGTCTCAGTGTATCCAGCTGATAGTTTTCATAAGAAAGTACATGTCATTATTGTAGTGACAGTTATCTTTGTAAATGTCATGATTAAATGATTTTGTAATATTAATATTTGATAAATGTCATTCCTTTTGGTTCGGTATAAGAAATAGTTTTTTTAATTGTTTGTTTGTGAAAACTAGAATCACCCCTTCTTGGTCGTATCCCTCCACCACTCAGACTAGTTCCAGGTTAAACCCTGTTTATCCAGTCTTATCAAATATCAACCATTTGTGTGAAATTTTGTCCTAATTGCTGTGAAGTCTTGAGTAATGGCTAAATAGTGTTTTGTGATGTCACTGTAACCTTGACCTTTGACCTTTGACCACCAAAGTCTAATCGGTTCATCCTTGAGTCTTGGTAAATGTTTGTACCAAATTTGAAGAATTTCTTACTGAGATATCGTGTCCACGAGAATGAGACGGACAACCTGAAAACACTGTCGCCTTGTGGAGGAATAAACAGTTCGTGAATTTGAAGAATTATATGAATAAATGAATGAATATATTTAATTTTAGAAAAACATATTTCCAATAGGACTGTGGAAGTTACAGCAGTGGTTCCCAACCTGCGGTCCGGGGGCCACTGGTGGGCCACGAAGGTGAAACATATAATTATATTAAAAAAATGTATATATGAATGTTTGTATTTATAATTAGAATTCGTGTTGTAGTAACCACATGGTTTACTTGTTGCTATCTCAGTTTGTGCGCTGAAAGATTACATGGAAAAAACTGGAGAGTCAAAACAGACAGTTAGCAACAGGAAGTTAATGGTGAATCAACAAGTGATTTCTACTTGTCAAGGAAAAAAGAAAAATTCAGCTTTCAGTTCAATGCCGAATGTTCATCCTTATCATGGATGAGAAGAGACACCTTTCGGCCTCCGTACTGAAACTGGAGCCTGAAGGACTTCAGTTTATGATTCAGTGTTTTAACTGTTTCAGCTGCTGCAGCTTTAATCCACATGCTGCACACTTCACCTCCTCACCGTCAATCAACCGTCAATCAGCTCTCCCTCTCTCCCTCCCTCTCTCCCTCTCCCTCTCTCTCTTTGTGCAGACAGCCCGTGAGGGAGGGCGAGGAGGTGGGGGAGGATGAACGGCGGGAACAGCGCGCTGCTGCGGACCGCTCGGCAGAGCGTCATCTCGTGCAGCGACCACGGGCGGAACTGCTCTGAAACCCTGGAGCTGTCAGCGGCGCCCGCGTGGAGCGGCAACGGCTCGGCGGTGGATGCTCACCGGCTAGTGGAGCTCCAGTTTCCCGCCTCGGCGGCCACAACGGTGAGTAACTTTTTATTCCCGCGGTCTGGAAACGACTCACTTTTGTTTTCCGTTCATCATCGGACTTTCTTGAAAACACGACCAATTTAATATCGAAATGTTAATTGTAAATAAAAAGGCAGAACATGATGTTGTGTTTAAAGACACAGACACTGAACGGAGCAGAAAACCGTCTGTTCGTGGAGCCGCTTCCTCCTCACTGTAGATGTGGCGGCAAAGTGTTACCTAATGAAATAATGACAGTTCATGTCGTTAATAAGAAAAGATTCTGTGATAATTTAATTAATGACGAATTGAAGAATCAACCATTAATTAGGAAACAGTCAGATTTCACATTTTTATCTGCTACTGACACGAAACAATAAATATTAAATACATGAGGTTTATTGCTCTGACCAGCTGTTCATTATGAATTCATTATAGATTTGATTAGGTGGAACATATGAACATATGGGCTGCAGGCTGCTATTGATCCGCTGGAACTTCATCACTTTGGAACAAGAAAGAGGGAACTCACCAACACAGAGAAGAAACTGAAGGTTTGGTTGAAATGTTTCAGGACCTGTAGTTCTGCTCCTGAAGGACCTGGCAGATAAATATTAACAGCCTTTTCGTGACCCTCCTGATTTCAGACTATGAACTTAAACTGAACTAAACCTGCATTTAAAATGTATTGAGCTGAGACAGAGACAGGCTGCGTCCACACTGCTACGTTTTCATTTTAAAACGCCGTTTTCAAACTAAATCAATCTCCGTCCAGATTAACACACCTGAAAACACACACATACCTGAGCAGTCACCTACACTGAGCATGTGTGAGCCGGTGTAAACAGGAAGTAGATTGTCTCCTCTGAAGGAGGAGCAGCAGAGACAGCTGTAGCATTAAAACAGAATGTAAGTGAACAACAGCAAAGACAACAAGGTCAGTAACTCTGTCATTCATCATCATGTTGTATTCACCACTGGTAGTCCAGGCTGATGAGAGCCAATCAGGAGAGGCCGTGGGTGTGACCTCATCGTTTACAAAGGTCTCACTTTCTGACCAGACTACAACACAACCGCAGAGTTTTCAAAATAAAAGTCAATGACAGAGTTTTCAAAATAAAACGGGTCCAGCAAAGTTTCTGAGTCTCTGTTTTAGAGGCTGAAAACTCGAGTCATGAGGACGGAGGAGGAAATGTAAGAAAAGAAATGCGTTTTAAAATGAAAATGTAGTCGTGTGGATGCAGCCACAGACAGGAACTGACAGGATCAAGGGGGGGCGCCGACAGTAAAGAGGGTGGGGGGAACTGACAGCACAGCGCGTCTCTTGGATGCATCAGCATGAAATGCTTGAATGCAACTTTTCTCCTCGGAGGCTTCGTTTGGTTCATTAGACAAACTGTCAACACGGCTGTTTGTGTGTTTGTGTTTGTGTGTTTGTGTTTGTGTGTTTGTCAAATCACACACGCTGTAAACACACACACTTGACTTCACACTCAGCTGCACAAGACAAAAAGATTAAACTGTGTCTGAAGCCACATCGGCCTGGTTTGAACACACACAAACACACACAAACACACACACACATACACATACACACTTGAACACACACACACACACATACACATACACACATGAACACACACACACACACACACACACACAAACACACAGATAAATGGAGCCAGGACTCGTGGGGGAGTGTTTCTCTCTTATCTCTCTGACACCTCGGCGGCGCTGACGTCACGGGTCACAGCTGAAAGGTCGACGTTATTTCCTGCTGCGGTGGCGAATGTGAACATAGACCTGAGGACGTTCAGCTGATGGTAGGAGGATGATAATGGAGCTTCTCTTCATCATCATCATCATGGTGTGTGTCTGCTATTGTATTGATTGTGTCCTCGGCAGCTGCTGCGTGTTGTTGGACAAACACATATTGACGTCTGTGTTCAGTGTCTGTTCATGCAGCTGTGAACGTTGTATTGATTGAACATGTGAATGTGGTGGTTGATGACGCTGCTGAAGCTGAAAGCGAAGCTGAAGGCGAAGGTGAAGGTGAAGCTGAAGGTGAAGATGAAGCTGAGGTGACGATGAAGCTGAAGCTTAAGGTGAAGCTGATGATGAAGCTGAAGGCGATGATGAAGCTGAAGGTGAAGGTGACGCTGAAGCTGAAGGTGAAGCTGATGATGAAGCTGAAGGTGAAGGTGATGATGAAGCTGAAGGCGACGATGAAGCTGAAGGTGAAGCTGATGATGAAGCTGAAGGTGAAGCTGAAGCTGAAAGTGAAGCTGATGATGAAGCTGAAGGTGAAGCTGATGATGAAGCTGAAGGCGACGATGAAGGTGAAGGTGACGCTGAAGCTGAAGGTGAAGCTGATGATGAAGCTGAAGGTGAAGGTGACGCTGAAGCTGAAGGTGAAGGTGAGGCTGAAGCTGAAGGTGAAGCTGATGATGAAGCTGAAGGTGAAGGTGAAGCTGGAAGTAAACCAACAACAAAAAGATTTCAGCTCTAAACTTTCTGACAGTCTGAATGTGTGAGAGTCACAGCGATGGATCACCTGAGAAACTGAAACTGAGAGCAGAGGTCACATGATCAGTTTGAACCTTCAAATTAAAAGCTAGAACATTTTTTTTAAGTATATTTTTTTGGGCTTTTTATGCCTTTATGACAGCACAGTAGAGAGAGACAGGAAATGGCGAGGCAGAGAGAGGGGGAATGACATGCACTAAAGGGCCGTCCGCTGCGGGACTCGAACCGGGGCCGACTGCAGCGAGGACTGTAGCCTCTACACATGGGGCGCCTGCTTAGACCACTGCGCCACTCGGCGCCCCAGCTAGAACATTTTTAACCACCAGGTGGAGACAAAGAGCGTCAGGTGCAAGTGGTTGTATCCCTCCGCCACTCAGATAGTCCCAGGTTACATCCCTGTTTATCCAGAGTCATATAAAATATTAAACGTGTGTGAAGTCTTGAATTATGGCTTGACCTTTGACCATCAAACTCCAATCAGTTCGTCCTTCAGTCCAAGTGTTTGTGCCAAATCTAAAGAAGTTCTGTCACGGCGTTAGAGATATCAGGTTCATGAGCGTGCTGGACTCAAAGTCCTGATCTTGTCACTGTCAACATACATGTGTAGTTTAACATACATGTATAATTTAACATACATGATCATATCCACAGTGTGATTACAGTGATGTGTGTCAGCTGGTAGTGTTACATCATTAACAGTGATGGGTTCATGTTCTACACTGATCCATTTATATCTGCTCTGATGCTGCATTCACTGTGGCACGAGTGGGAAAAACGTGTTTCACATCAAACATAGTGAGCTTCATTTTTAAAACAACAGACATAAGACAAGTTGACCTGAGGTCACATGACGTGTCTGAGGCTACACGGTAACCCCTTCAGTGAAATCAACAATATTATTAATAATATACTGATGTAAACATAAACACATGACACAACCAGACGCTCCTCATAAGGATTCATTACAGTGACACAGATCTGACCTCAGACACATTTCCTGTTTCGTCAGCTATATGTTAATAATGATGTTTATCATATATTTATTAAACCATATTCATAGAAAGTAGCTGCTGGAAATGAAGTCTGTAGAGTTTGAATGAAAACCACCACAGGAAACATCACAGAGATTCACCGGCTGTCAGAGAGGAGGCTTCATCTTTAAAGTCTGACAGGGTCAAGTAGAAAATTAATTTCCGGAGTTATTGGAGATAACCCTGAACTGATCGTCTCTGAGACTGAGTCACTAAGGACAGAGGACAGAGCAGGACCATGGTGAACCTGGATCCGTCAGGGAGGATCAGACTGAAGCTGTGAATCCTCTGTGACGGCCTCCCTGGTCTCCACATGCCTCCCTTCATCTGATGACGGTTCTGTGACCTTCAGCTAAAACCAACAGAAACACTGAGCACTAACGAGATGGAAAAGATTTTAATGACGAGTTTTAGTCAGAGTCTCACATCAGCAGAAACATGTCGTGAAGCGTGCAGCTGCTCTCAGTTCATCCTCCTTCAGTCTCTAATCACACAGATCAAATCTCATTCATGGAAGTACAAGCTGAAACCACCTCATCCCACAGGAGACAGTCATCAGGCAGCAGCTTCCAGCTGCACTTCCTCTAATGGCCACTAGGTGGATCTAGCTTTGTGCTGGGTGTAAGACAGGCGTTAGATAGGTTGTTAGGTTTACTACATGTTACACTCAAAACACTGTCATGATTAATGAGACTGAGTACGACCCTGTTGAATCTTGTCTGGAGCAGAGACTGTTTCTGCTGTTAAAATAGGAAATGTTGGATTTGGACATGCCCCTCAATACACCTGTGCTTCAGACCGTTACCATGGAGCCCTCCGATTCTACTGAAGTGGATGTTACATGTAATTAATGACAAAACAAATTAGCAAAGCAACTGATGTGATGAACTAGTACTTTTCTGGTGCGTCCATATGCTAATGGATGTTAGCCACATGCTAATGGTTGTTAGCCATATGCTGATGGCTGTGTCAGTGTATCATGTTGTGTTGTATCATGTTGTGTGTTGTTGTTGTCGTGTTGTTGTTGTGTTCTGTTGTGTTGTTGTGTGTTGTGGTTTTTTTTGCTGTGTGTTGTTGTGTGTTGTTGAATTTTGTGCTGGTGTTGTGTTGTTGTTGTTGATGTGTGTTGTTGTGTTGTGTGTTGTTTTTGTTGTACTGTATGTGTATTTTTGTTGTGTTGTTGTGTTGTGCGTTGTGTTGTGTGTTGTTGTGTGTTTTTGTTGTTGTGTGTTGTGTTGTTGTACTGTATGTGTATTTTTTGTTGTGTTGTGCATTGTGTTGTGCGTTGTGTTGTGTGTTGTTGTGTTGTGCGTTGTTGTGTTGTGTTGTGTGGTTGTTGTATGTTGTGTTGTGTTGTGTTGTGCGTTGTTGTGTTGTGTGTTTTTGTTGTGTGTGTCGTGTTGTTGTACTGTATGTGTATTTTTGTTGTGTTGTTGTGTTGTGCATTTTTGTTGTGTTGTGTGTTGTATGTTTTTGTTGTTGTGTGTTGTGTTGTGTTGTGCGTTGTTGTGTTGTTGTTGTTGTTGTGTGTTGTTTTTGTTGTGTTGTGTGTTGTTTTTGTTCTTTTTCCGGGGCGCGGCTCGTAGATGATGTGCCGTGGTGTGGTGCTGTGTTGATCTCGTGTGTGTTTCATGCGTTTAGTCCTTCATCGTGTAGGTGTTAAGAGAAGCCAATGCGAGTCCAGGCTTCTAGGCCACACTTTTCTCTTAGACAGAACGCCTGCGATTAGGGGACGGCATCAGCTGGAAGAGGCGAGGCGATTCCCGGAGTTCGTGCGCTGATGCCGTGCACGCTAAGGAGCATCAAACTCAGCAAAAGTGTGGTTCAGAGATGTGCGCTGTGCATCACATGATAGGTAGTGCGCTGTACTCGCACTGCAAGACAGCACACTTATAGTCTACCCAACCATCATGTTATCCGCTTCCTCCCTTCTGGCCTCGCTGCTTTCCTTCCTCCTTCTTTCTTTTTCCTGTGTGGTGGTATCCGTCCTTCTCCTCTTTCTGCAGCCCCTCCGTTCACGCCCTACTCCAACAGCTTCACCTCCCACTCTAAATCTCCACTAATCTACCACCCATCTCTCTCTTTTTAAAATTAACATGCAACATGAAAAAATGGGACGACAGCAAGGAAAAAAAAAATTAAATGCATTTAATAAATGGCTGACTTCAAATCGCCGGCTTTTCCAGACTCTCCGCTATCACAGTCCAATGAAAGGGGAGGAAATCATTGCACCGGAGAGACAAAGCCCGAATGGAAAATATAATTCTGGCTTGTGAGGCGCTTTTGTCTGGCCCGTTCAATCGCGTGAATTGGCGAGGCTTTTGTTTTGTGGCGGCGCTCTAGGCTGGCAGGTGTCGTATGGAGGTGGCAACGCAATGCCCCATAAATCACCCACGCTTTGTGATATTAGATTATAGGGGCAAAATTAATGGCCGTCAAACCTCTAAACTACTCAGGTATTCAGCCTGCATCACAGGTATATAAGAGCACAAATATACAGAAACACACACCACTCTCAGCCCTTAGAGAGACGTCCAATGTACATGTGCCACCTTCACACACACGCGTGACGATGGGCACACCAGCACCATGTGGAAACAATAGAGTAGCAGTAAATCAACACTTGCACACATGCATGTGCATTTGGCTCTGGGCTCGGAGCGTCAGCCAACACACAGAAAGGTGCTATAACTCCAGTAATTATTACGCCTGTGACTTGAAAATGTCAAATGCGTGTGTATAAAATAGAAATGTATGAGTTGTCAGGAGGAAGAATGGATGCACAAAGAAGCAATTAATGTACAGCTTTTCATTGTGGCAGCTTAGATGACAGGCCTGGCGGCGGGGGGCAAAGCTGGCATGACGCCAAGCGGCACCCTCAAACCACCCCACCCTTAACTCCACAATGCCCACCCCACCTCCCCAGTCCCCTCTGCGTGTTCCTTTACCGTGACTCGCCCATACAACACCACCCTTCCCCTCGCCTCACCTGACTGCATTGATGAATGGGGTTTGGCGACCCCCACTCTGATCTGTTCTTTTCTTTCTGCTTTTTCTCTCTCCCTCACCCTAGCACGCAACGCAACACTCTCACACGCACTCCGCTCCATAAGAGATTCAATGTCCCTGCATACCCCAACCAACCCCCGTCTTTTCCACTCTGTTCCGCGAATGTAGCTTATCGCCACGCCATACGCGCTCTCGGCTCAATACTATCTTGAGGAGTGGAGAGTCATCGGAGGCCTCGGATACTAGACTAATATAAA